TCTAACATCCAACTAGTTTCATGGTAAACGTATCAAGTTTTTTAACAACTTATTGTAGGACTCGTTCCGAACAAAACGATTTTTACAAACATCACAATTTTTTTGATTATAGTAAAACAGAGTCCAAGGGGCTGTTTACTTAAATGCGTACCTGGTAAGCACTTTTACCTTTAGGAGTCAACACTATAATTTATTTATTGGGTAAGATTGTAGTACATTAAAATGGTAGCGTATGCAACAATTTACATGGTAAGCACTTACCCGGGTAAGAGTCGTCACCCTCACTTACCGAGTAAGACTTTCCATCTTTATCATTGCTCTTTTTTTTGTAAGGGTGTCCGGGCCAAAGCCCGACTAATCCCCGGCAAATTTGGAGGCTAAACATGGCCCCACTTAAATATCGCCAACACTCCCCTCCCAGGGCTCGAACTCGGGTTCATGACTATGCCATGCCCAAGCCTTTACCACTAGACTGGAAGGTCTTTGACTTTATCATTGCTCTTACTGGGTAAGATTTTTGATCCTTGTCATGTTCATCAGACAAGAAAAATTACTCGGTAGGCACTTACCAGGTAAACATTTAGTAAACGGTCCCTGAGTACATACGTATTATTAATAATATTTTTCAAAAAAGTTATAAAAATGATTTAATAATATTTTTAATTATTGATTACATATTAAAAATGATTTTATTAAATGAAATATATTACATTATTATTTTTTATTAACATAAAGATAAATACAAATTAAAAACTAAAAGAATATAAATAATATATAGATGTAGGAGCGTATTAGGCTCCATATCCACCAAAACAACAACTACTCTACTACTACTTTCAAATTAACCAACCAATTACCAACTCTCCATCTATATTTCCTAATCCCTCATCAACAATATTCTCAAAACCTATAATATTCATAACATAATTAAAGACATAATTATGGCTTTTTATTAAATAAAAATTAATGCATTTTTTAGAAAATTGCATACATATCTTTCTCTCTCTCTCTCTTTCTCCTTTTTTGTCTATTCATAACATACACGTATGCATAATTAAATGTGCATGCAAGGTGAAAATATTGTGAACATAATATAAATAATCTTAAATTTTTTATTAGGATATTCGCATGATGTTTACAGTTGATAGGTTTATTAATTTAATTGATATTCACAAACTATAGCAGTTCTCGTAGATTTATCCTATGTTCATAAATTATAACAGTATTTCAAAAAAAGGGTAGAAGAAAAAGAGGGAAATGTTTTTAATTTATATAAGATTTTATTTTTAACTAATTTTTTTATAGTTTAAATTAGAATTCAATTAAAACTATTTTATTTTGTTTTTTGTTTTTTGATTTGTTGATTATATTGTGCAGATAACGGTTAAACATGATTGATGGTTGTAAAATGACGATTTCTACAAACGAGGAACCCAACTTTTCATAAAAGAGTTGAGTTTCAGTGAGAATGAGAGTCAATGTAAGAAAGGTAAGAAGAGATCTTCATCCTTGAATCAACATTAAGATGAGATGCACCGGATCAATCTCCATATCAAACATAATTCATAGATGAATTTGAGATTAAAGTTGATCAACGATCCAGATTCTTTCTTATACTTCAATCATTGGCGCTGGATAAAATCCAAAAATTTAATCATTTGATATCTATCAAACCATCTTCTATTCTATTTTATTTTGAGTGAACAACATAACGAATAAAGAATTCCACCACTTCAAAAAAAAAAAAACATGAAATTCCATGAATAATCGTCGAATCTCACCTTAATTTGATTGGTTATTAAACTTGATCTAACATCACAACTTTTTATATTTAATAGATTAATTAATTAATTATTATTATTATTATTGTTATTATTATAATCTATTATCAAGGATTACAAGATCGAATGGTCAACGATGATTGCAAAGGTAACTCACTTCATTTTTAATATGAAATATGTATACCACATGAAAAATGTGTTTTTAACCTTCTAATTTAAGTCACTTCCATGTATCTTTTTTCCCGCTTAATAACATTTTCAAATTTATAATCGACCATGTTTACAATATCTTTTTACGATAAAACTTTCTTGTAAGATAAACGTATTAATTAATTTTACTTCAGAAACGGGACGCAAACCGTAAAACCCGAGATTTATATAGTAAATCTGGTAATGTATAGCGTAAAGATTGAGTCCGTCCTTTGCGACCTACTCGATAGGAAGAAAGTAATAAAAGCAGTATATTCACCCTGTGAACATATATTATATAACGGTATAGTTTATAATTTTAACGTATTTGCTAAAGAATAACACCACGTATCACATGGATATAGAAATCCTGTTCTTCAAAATTCTAGCTATACTCCTTCGTTGTGAGTTTATAAATTGCTTAATCTCAGGACTTGATGTAGTATATGGATCAGTTATCAACAACCATGAAAACTGATATTGTGCAAAGGTTGATGCAAAAACGTGATAACAAGATGTTAATTAGCATAATTTAGAAATGCAGCAGAAAAAACGGAGGGCAAATCTTGATTTTTGTGTGTATGTAAAATAGTTGGTTAAACCCATATTTATATCCGGTTTTGATAAGGTTTAACATTTTCGAAACCTCTAAGATAGGTGGATAACTTCTATGATTTCCATCCAACTCGATCGAAGAAGATTGAGTCCTCAATTGATTAGGATTTTAATAATTTAAGTAAATCAGATGATTTAAAATCGATATTATCTAAAGTACTGTTGAATTACACCATTATTTTAATCATAGTAATTATTTGCTCGTTTCTATACATGGTTCTATCAAAAGAGGAGCTCGGATGAGGCTTCTCAACTCCGATGCATCGTGCAAAATAGGCTTCTTTACTCGACCTTAGACTCGTGTGTTTTACTTTAACTAGTTGTGTACCCGTGCAATGCGGCGGGAGCCGTGAATTTTAACAATTTTGAAGTTTCACTGATTTTATTATAGAACATTTAACGATGATATAAGTTACACTTGGTCTTTACATATTAATACAATTTGAATAAATAAGAGTTATGGTTCAAATTACAGTTTATCGATGAAAAAAATTGTATGACATTTAAAAATCCAATATATTTAAAATCCAACACATTTAAACGACTACACAAATGTGTTCTATTTACACCAAGAGCAAAGAATCAAGAGATCGAGAGCAAGACCGAGAGTTCTAGGGCAATTGAATGAGATAACTTTTAATAATTCATGGTGAATATCAGTTTCAATCTTACTTTAGGGGATGGGGAGAAGACATAGAGGTATGAGAGAGTGAAGGCATAAGTGAAATATGTCAAAAGTATTTTAGGAACATGAAAAGAAAAGGTAATAATATACATTAGTAACTTGTACTATATGTTATTTTAATTGTAAATTAAGAGATTTTCCGATTGAATGCATAAAGTAGTAGTACTTTATGCATAAATATATAGTATTTCGTACATTAAAAATTATTTTTAATATTTTTTATAAATCTGGTTTATAAGGTAGCATAAATGTATCCCTACCATAGTCCAATAAATCATTTAATTAAGGACTAGTTGGGTCTCGAATGTATAAACCTAACTTTTGTTTACTTTTCTATCAATATAACTTCCAACCTGACTTTAAACAAAAATTTCCAACACCATGTTCTTGTAAAGTATTTTGACCGAGACCTGAAAGTTTTGAACCATTGCGTTGTCAAACCAACAACAATTCTGACGAAACTCTCTCGTCTTCTAATCCATTAAAATCCAAGAACATTGTTTCAAATCCTCTTAACATTATAAGAAAGATATGATTACTTGATTCACGAAAAGATTTTATATATATATATATATATATATATATATATATATATATCTGCTTAAAGAAGATATAAAAAAGCATAAAGCTAAAAAAGTACCTTAAATTTCATTGGGAACATATAAATTATTCATTATGACTTCCGGTAATCCTTTATAGAATTAATTTGAGAAAGGAGAGCTAAAATAAAAAATCGTAAGAATAGATTTGGACCCCTTGATTATCTTTAATCTTAAATTCATTCATGAATTGTGTTAGATACAGGGATTGATCCGGTAAATCTCATCTTGATGCATTTTATTTTAATTTGCATCTAAATATGAAGATCTATTCTTATTCTTACTCTTTTCACATTGTAACTCTCTTTTCACCGGAACCCAGTCTTAGAAAATTAACCTTTTGAATGCCAAATATCTATCTATCATTAGTATATAAATCATAAATGAAGGGCTTAAACGTTTTGAGATGAATTTGCTTTTTTCTTTCTAAAACACAATACAATATCAAGACGCAAAGATGATTGCATGCAATAGAAGCAAGAATCAAACAAAAATGGTGAAGCAGGACTGTAATAAGAAGCTTTTGTACTTTTTGTTAGGTACCTTTAACATCATAACTATATTGTTTGTAGTGCAAGTTAAGATGTTCTTTATCAATTTAATCCCCTTTTTCTGTAAAGATGTTATTTCACTTGTCCAAACAATTCTCCAAAAACTTTATTCAAACTGAAACAAGATAAGGAGACGTGGAAATGATTTGGAAATAATTCCAAAATAGAAGCTCTGCAGATCCATTTTTTGTCAATGAATCACATAAATAAAATTTGTACCTCACTACAAATCAAGCAGAAGATTCAGACCTGTTTCGGTTGAATTTGAAAACAAGAAGAGATGTGGACCTCCATAATTTACGTACAATTAGGGCAAAATAATGAATACGAATTCCGAAAGCAATTTTGTTTTTCTACATAAATTTCAAGCTCCAGTGTAAACCTATGATTCAGATCTGAATTGTCTGATTTGCGTTTCAGGTTTCCATATGATCCGCACCAGATCAAACTGATGATTAATCGGCGGATCATATAAAACAGAGATGTTTAAGAAAAAAATACGTACATATTTATATATAGGAGAATGAATTCGATCGTGAATTCTTCCTCCACTGGAATTCGAATAAAATCTCGTGATAATTTACAGAGGACTACGCCTTCTCTTGTTCGTGTTCGAATTTTGATTGATGAATTCATAGCTTGACCTGAAGAACGATTCAACTTCGTCTCTGGCGACGATCTCGAAGAACTGAAACTCAGATATCCTTCTCTTACAAGAAGGACCAGAAATCCTCTGTTTTTTAGGCGGCGGAGGGCAGGTGATGATTTGAGGAATCCTGTGTTCCGGCGATGTCGGCGTTCGGCACTCCTCAAGTTGTTGTTCCTCCAATTGAATGGTGCATGATTCCTCAGATGTTGAATCCAGTTGTGGAAGAGATTCCGGTAGCTTGATTTTCAAAGAGGTTAGTCGAATTGCAGGAAGATCTTGGCGTAACTGTAGATCTGTAGACATGGTGGTAGTGGTTGTAGGTGATAACTCAGTGGGTGGTGGCGGTGGGTGGATGAGGAATTTGATTAAGAAGGAAGAGAAAGAGATGTGAACAACAAGTGGAAGGGAGATGTGCGCATTATATACGTAAGTTTCCTGAGAGACAAAATCCACTTTTCCAGACCAGAAATATAAAATTTCAGAGAAAATCAGTTGTAGAAACTTGTACTTTATGCATTAAAAGTCGTAATCTCATTTAATGGAAAAAGTGGAGGTTAAAATAATGCATAAAAATAGGTAGTTTCCTGGATTGGACAAGAATATATGATAAAGGCGTACACTTCTTATTATGACATTACATAAACGCCCCTCCATTTATTTATACTTTTACTCTAAGCCCCCCCTCAATAAATTGATTATAAACTTCTCGTTCTTCTAAAGGAAAAAATATTTTATCCTTTAAAACAAGATAATACATACATTGTTTTATACAGTAAGATACATCTTGATTTTAATATTTTATTTTATTTTTTATTTCAATCGATATTATAATATGATCTTATGTGATTTTGAAAAAACGACAATGTTTATATTTTTGAATAAAATATAAATTTAAAAATATAATAAAAATTTGACAAAAATATATGAATATTAATATCAAATTAACTATTTAAATTTTTTTTATTTTTTATGTAATTTTTTAATTCAATTTTTTTATTACAATTTAGTTTAGGTTCAATAATGAAGTAATTTATATTTAGTTTAATAATATAATTTTTTATAAGGATAATAATTAATTATTTTGTTAGAACTTGATAATTATCCTAATTATATTTTAGATTTTTTATATTTTAAAAATATGATGTTTATCCTCTATTTGATTATTTTTATCCGTAGTTAGTTACATGAATTCAAACATGGAGCTTTAATAAGTTGTACTTACGTACAATTTACTTGTAATCTTGAATTTTAAGTAACAATAGTTCATGCATAAAACATGATTTTTAAAATTTTTGTCAAATGCTTTATGATATAGTATAGATATATATATATATATATATATATATATATATATATATTCGTTTCATAATTTTATGATAAATTTATTTTTCTAAATTATCAATATTTATTAAATTGATTGATAGGCCAAATAGAGATTGATGTTTCATCTAAATAAAAACCGACACAGTCTCATTAATTGTTATTTGTTAGAAGAATTGTGCAAATTACTTTTTAAGCTAAAATAAACATCTCCATTAATATTACATTAATTGTGCTTAATTATCATAATATATGTCAATTCAATTATTTTCTACTAATTTCGTCTCCATTAATAAGCTTACTTTACGATTAATTATCATTTCCATTCACATTATTTTATTTATTATTAGATTATGCATGATTTTAATGTATTTCGCTAATAAACAATCTATAGCTTTTAATAAGAGCTTCATTGTAGCAATCCCGTTCTATGTGGCCGGGACAATGTGTTATATAGGAAAACATAACAACATAAATAACTAGCATATACCGGAAAATTAGAGCTACTACGAAAAATCCATAAAAAATTACAAGATCTATACTATCTAAGAGCTGTCTTCAAAATAGGCACTTTCCGTAGCTCTCAGTTCCGTGATGATCCCACCTACGATCATGTACCTGCTAAGGATAAAACAAACCTCGGCTGAGCCAAATGCTCAGTGAGCGGATGATGTATAACAAAGATTACAAGTATTTAATCGAGTTAATAAAAGATAATAATTAAAAGAAATTTGAAAACTTGAACATGAAGTGATCAATCAACAATTTGCATAAAGTATCTCAACTGGGTAAGCTAAAAAGTATTATCAAATCAATAATCGAGAATAAATAAGAAAATCAACTGGGTTCGAGGGTTGTACGAACCACTCGAACACATGGAAATTAGTGTAGGGCAATACACCCAAATCCCTTCTGATAAATGGCTTCCGACAACGGTTCTTAGGATCGATCCATTCGCCCTCAGATTGGCCGGTACTAGGCTAGATCCACTTATTGACGTTGGGGTATAATAGCGAGGACGCCATGACAATTTATAGCAACCATGGAGACGTCACGACATCATTGCTCTCGATGTCCTGCCTTAAAGCGCAAAATGCTCAAATTCTTAAGGACATGTTAATTCAAATGTGAAAAGGGTAAACTCACAATTTGTTTAACTTTTAACTAATACATCTCCAAATAAAATTTCGAAAACGGTTCAAATCCGACAACGATTCAATCCCAAAAAATGATCAAATCCAAAAACAATTCAATTCAACTCAAGTAGCCAATAATAGTCATATCAAAGACAAAACTCTAATAACAGCTCTATTAAGAATCATGATCATTGACATATCGGACACCAACAATTAAAGGAGTTATCAAACTCACAATGTCCCAGTTTGATTTCATGAATTGAAAATAAGAAACAATAATTATATATAGTAATAGATGACGAGATAGTAATGAGATACGATATTACCTCTATAATAAACTAGTGATTAAGGAAAGTCGCAAGAATCGAATATCCATACCTTAGACAGTAATCGATGTAGTAAGCACGTAGCTCCTATCCCCTTGTTAATGCTCCTTTCTTATTCTAAGATTAGTCCTGAATAAGTTTACACATGATTGTGACTGATTGCTACAATTTCTACGGATGTTACAATCCTTAAAGCACAAAGTACAAGCAAAATAATGCTATTAAATCCCCTGCACCTAACAGCTTTGAACCAACTTGATTTTGATCATACTTAGAGATGCATTCAGGTTTTAATGTATAAACAAAAGTTGTAGGCCTATTACTTAGGGTGCGTTTGGTTTGCAGGAATGTTTCTGAGGGATTTGGATTCCCAGGAGGGGTTTGGATTCCATGGGATTTGGATTGGATTGGATTTAAAATCCATTCTTGTGTTTGATTTGCAGGATTTGGACATAATATGATCATAGTGTATACCATGAACTTCAACTATATATCAACCAGAATCATAAAACAGCATATAGAAGTTGACTGGAAATTGCAAAATTCCTATGATCATGCATCTGAAGAATCAGTTTAAGCAAGCATATAGCAATGACGATGAAACCATCATATGTACAGAGCACACTTAAACAAAAACTATATACTTGAGAAAAGTTTTCATCAAACAAGGATGACTACTCTGTTCATACCTATTCAGATTTAAGCATCTACAAAAGGTGTTATATGATTTACTTGCTGAGAGTGATGCGAGAAGGCGGCGAACAGGAAAGGCGTTTTGGCTCAAGGCGGTTCAGGGCGCAGCTTCGCGAGGGGAAAAGGAAGGGAGCACCGGCGAGACGACCTTAGGGCACAGCTTCGCGAGGGGAAAAGGAAGGGAGCACCGGCGAGACGACCTTAGTGCACAGCTTCGCAAGGGACGGGAAGGAAGCACCGACGATGGAAGGGAAGCGATGGGAAGGAAGCGGGAGGAAGCACCGGCGATGGAAGGGAAGCGACAAAAAAGAAGCGGGAGGAAGGAAGGGAGACGCAATAATCGAATGGAAGCGATGAGAAGGAAAGGATTGGATTTGAAATCCCGCCCCTTTGCAAAGGATTTCCAAATCCCGCATACAAGGGATTTTAATCAAATCCCTGGGTTCCAAATCCCTTCAATTTGGCAAACCAAACACAGGATTGGAATGGATTTCAAATCCAAATCCCCCCAAATCCATTCCAATCCCGCAAACCAAACGCACCCTTAGGGTGCGTTTGGTACGTGGAACAGGGTGGAACAGGACAGGACAGGACACACTTGTCCCACGTTTGGTGTGTTTTTAAGTGGAACTAACTGGAACTAACTTGCACACACATGGGACACGGGTGTTCACCCTCTACCCCTGGAACTAAGTGGAACAGACTTTTTTTTTACTAATCTACCCTCCATCGCTCCTCCATGCTCATTCGCTCCTCCATGCTCAGACTCCATCGCAATCGCTCCTCCATTCTCAGACTGCCTCCATCGCACCCTCATCGTGCGTCCTTCCCCATCGGCGACG